CAAGTTTCGTGTAAGTTAGGGAACATAATAACAGTCATCTAATATCAAATGCCTACGATTCTCAAAACATAAAGTAAAAGTGCCAATAGTTTTGGCAGATACCACTGCTCCTATGCCAATCCTAAGAGTGTACTCCCCTTCACCAAGATGCTTAGTTCCTGGAACCCCTGCAAAGAATTGCAAATATGATTAGTGACTCCAGAATCTACAATCGAGGTATTAGTAGAACCAACCACTAAGCATGACTCAATGAATAGGGCATTATTGCCTTTACCTTGCTTCCCCTTAGCTAGGTAATCCGAGCAATTCCTCTTCCAGTGATCTTTTTGTCCACAAATAAAACACTTTCCCTTTAGTTTCCCATCGGCAGTAGTCTTCTTTTCCTTTGACTTGCTATCTGGCTTTTTGTTTGGCCTCTTCCTCTTCTTTCCTCATTTGCCACCGAATGCTTAGGATGAGAGGGTCCGGCTGTAACTGTCAAAGCACTTCCACTTCTGGCCTTTAGAACAGATTCAACATTTTGGAACTCTTTCATTAATTCAACCAGAGACATGTCCATCTTGTGTAGATTATAATTAACTATAAATTGTGAGAACATCTCAGGAAGAGTCTCAAGGATCATGTCAATCTGCGTCTCGAAATCAATGTTAGCTCCTAAAACCTCCGCAGCATTGAAGTGACCAATCATGATTAATATATGGTCCCTTACAGATGCGCCCAATTTCATGCGTGTGTTCATGATTGCCCTAATGAAGGCTTGCCTAGCTTGTCGGCTTTGATGTCTAAATATCTGTTGAAAACTTTCCATTATGTCAAAAGCAGTTTCCATATTGTGATGTTTCTATTGTAATACATTTGACATGGATGCCAAAATGTAACAAGGGCTATCTCATCAGAATGATGCCACTTTTCATATGCAGCCTTTGAGATTCCGTAGAGTCATCTTTAGGGGTTTCGGGACAAATTTCATCCAGCACAAATTTATGTTTTGTAGCGGTAAGAACAATATTAAGATTCATTTTCCAATCAACGTAGTTTTCTCCCACAAGTTGATTTTTGTTAAGTATTATTGATAATGGATTAAACGACATTTTCCTGTAAAATTAATGATTTATGTATTAATAAAATGAGCAATAATCTTTGTAAGATGCATGTATATGAATATGCAAATATAAATCCAAAACTATATTTGTAATAAAAAATCTTAAACTCTTACAACCTTTAACACGCCCTCTATAGGAGGTCAATGTAGTTGTTGACAAGGTTGAGACTCTCTCACTCATTTTATAGGGCTAGACATCTCATGCCACAAGAAAATGAGGATTAATTATTATTTGCCCTATGAATAATTTTGTTGAAATCTTCTATAGGAAGTCCCCCCAAAAATATTCATATAACCTCTGTCAATAATTTTAAAATATCTGAAATATATAAGATGACGTTTATAAGATGATCATCCCATTATTTCATTTTAAAGAAATTCTATTATTAGATTCAATTTTAGTTAATCTAAAATAACGTAGTTTTTCTATAAGGAGACCGATATAATTCGATACTAAACATACGTATTTCAATAAAAAATTGGATGACGGAGGAGGCCGTAGGTTTATACATGCCAATAAATCCTCTCCCACTTATTATTTTGCACCGTTGAATTTTCACTTAATTATTCCGCCAAATATAAACAATTATAATGACACAATTATATAAAATATTTTTCAACCACCTCTAATTAATTTAGAGTGATAAAAAAATATTTAAATGTAAATGCATATGATTTTAGTGTATCGGATGGTGTTTCATTTAATCTACATGACATGCGATAATAATTAAACATTCATCCATTCATAAAGCAGTAAAAACGATATTTAAATGAATAATAATCACTAACGACCCATTCTAAGAATTTAAATTACAACATGGATAAAAAGAATTACATTGGGCCACATCCCGGCTCAATTCTTCAATCTTCTTTGTAGTCCATCTCATATAATATGAAAATAGGGTTAATTTAATTTTTAGGCCAAAATCTTAAAGGGAAGAGTTCATAAATCAGGTGTTAACTATGCCCAATTCAAAATCCAGATTACAAGTTTTTTTAGTGCAAAAATCAGGTTTTAGCTAATTAATTAAAAATATTTATTAGATAATGATAATAAAGCCACTGTTATACTATTCATGGTCACATATTCACAATTATATGTCACATATTTTATTTATCTTACATATCATCAAATTAATTGGTTAAAGATTTTTTCGAGGTCACAAATCACAATTTTGATAAGTCACAGATTATGTCGAGGTCATAGATGAAAAAATTATAAGTCATAAATCCAAAAAATTATAGTCACAGGTCACATATTTTCAAATTTGATAGTCACATATTATTGTTTTTTAGTCACTGATGATCGAATTTTAAGGTCACAGGTCAAATAGCCGATCACCACCAACTCCACTGCCACCACCGTCACTTGCAACCGTCGCCAACGCCAACACCAACATCAACAAAATCAACACAACCAGATCCACCGCTACCACCAAACACACACAAAAAAACCACCATCGTCGCCTCCAGATCCACCACCAACACTGTCGCCGCCAAAAATACGAACATCACCACACTGCACCACACCACAACACCCACATAACACCAACAAAATCGACTTCCACAAACATAGAATTCACATCACACGCCACCAACACAAATCGGCTTCCACTCACACCGCACCAACAAACCTACTTTTACACACTTTTGAGCATCGAGCCACTGTTGCATCGCCGTCGACTAGCTGGTCGCACAGCGCAACCACGATGACGTCGCTGTGAGCGTTGACTCCGCGGCGCTTAGATCGACGAGTGACTACTTCGATTGGCCAGATTGCTCACAACACCGGCTATGAGGGCACCGCACTGCAGCAACTATGCCGTCGCTCGACTCTCATGTCTCCGACGGCGGTGCTCTGCAACGATGATGGAGGTACGAGGAAGAGAGAGGGTAGAGAGGGAGAGATGGAGATGGTGGAGAGAGACAGAGAGGGAGGCGAGAAGTGAAAAATCTGAGGATATGAAAAAATGATTAGGGTTTGTTTGAATTAGGTAGTGTGGTTATAAATAATACATGATTTCTGATTAAAAAATATTTGCACTTGATTTTTGCACTCACATCTTTAAATACCGAGAATCTTGTAATTTCCTCAATCTTAAAACCAACAAGGCCATTATTCAACAACATTGGCCTAAGTATCAAAGAGAAACCCAAAAAATTCAAATTACCATAATTTTCAAACCCCAGTAAGAAAACACACACAACATCAAAGCACACACAACTCTGACGACGACGCAATATCCGGCGATCGAAAAAGGGATCGCCGGCAAGGCGGCCCCAGGTGCCGACTTCAAGAAGCAGTAGTTGGCCTCGCAAGGCAGTAGCAGCAGCTGCCTGCCTCGTGAGGCAGCTACTGCTGTTACAGCAACAGCTATGGCTGCTCTTTGGTATTTTGTTGCATTTTTATTTTATTTTTTTTTGTCTCTTTTCCTCTTTACATTTTTTCAACCAAAATTCAAGTATAGAAATGAAAAATACGAAAAAAGAAAAAAAAGAAAAGACCCTAGTGTTTTATGGCTTTCAACTTTTCTAGAGAAAAACAACAACAATCAATTAATTACAATAGGAAGTAAAAAAAAAAAAAAGTTCTAGAGCCAAAAGTGATTATAAATATATCAACAATAACTTTAAACATATTTAAAGTTTAAACCTGTCAAAATCAAATACCCTAACACCACCCAACTAAAATGCATATTACACTAGGATTTAAAAATTATAATCCTACTCAAGGTTTACAATAACCTTGGCTTTGATAGTATTTGTTGATTAATGAATTTTAATCATCACAATAGAAAATTAATTTTCCTTTGAAGATTAAAATCATGTAAATAAGGATTTTAGTAACCTTGAGATCATTGGATTATAAAAATCCTCACATATAGAAAAGGGAGATGATAACCTTTTGAAGGAGCTTTTAATGGCCTAACCAATTGTTTCCTCCCTTATATCTTCTCCCTTGTTCTCCTCTAGGTGCATTTCCTTTCCTAAAAAGTGAAAAGTGGCTAACCCTAGTTCTCATATAAAATATGCCAATAAAGTACATATTTTTAATGCCCTATTAGGGTTTGAAAATTGCACAAATTTCCTTGGACTTTATTATAGTAGACCAATTAAGTCACACACATTTTATTGGAACCAAGAGAAGGACCTAATCGGACTCACATGACCCAAGCTCCAATAGATGTTTCCAATTGGGTCAACGCTTGACCAATTGAGATACATCTATTAATCCTGACTTATTCTACCAAAAAATCGAGATTGCACTCTCGAGTCGAGTGATAATTATAAAATTAAATTATGATCCAATAACAATATTCTCTGATTATCGTTCTACAAGTAAACCTCCATTTGATCGCCAATATGTTGAAACTGGCAAAATGACCATTTTGTCCTTCAACATTGCCATTCAACATGTATTACCCTCTAAGTCCCATTTTCACACGGCAAATTCATTGTGATCAAATCACAATGTAAAGTCCAACGATCTTATCGTCGACCTACTGAGCTCAGATTCAATTTGCCTACGAAAATACCTTAGAGTGACAGTCGTCTCTTCTCAATGACTAATGGATTCCACTATTTTAAGTACTTGATCTCTAATTGTTTCAGCCCAGTTCCCAAAGCACCGAGATTAATCTTCTACTTAAGACTTCACTCATTGGTACCTCAAAGAACTTGAACTAGCAATCAAAGGTACATTACTCACTTAGGATTTAGGTGACGCGTTTGATAATCAAGTAGAGTCTCATTTCGAACGGTTACAAATGAGTCATTTACGCAGTATTGTTTAATGTGCATCAAAACACATTATTGTTCCTATTTCAAGATCTAGACAAATCTTAATAAGAACAATACAATCTTATCAACATAAAGCGTCCATCTTTATGAACCGATTGTGAACAACATAATTTTGATCACATCACGAATTGTGTCTTACTAAACCCGATCCATCGAGTATACAATTTATGACATCTTATATGATCATGGAACCTTAGATAATCACTTCAAATTATAACTCGCAAATAAACAAACGTCAATTTGTAATGTGATTTTACAGAACACTACCCAATGAATGGGCATCAAGCTAACAATGGTATACATCCATGTCGAAAAATAGAGTATCTATTAGCAAATTGGCAAAGTTCCTCCGAATGGAGGCCATAAAGCAGGCACTAGGGAGCAAAAACACAAAGTATCCAAACGCATATAGAGGAAAATCAGTCCATCCATCCCTTCAGGATCCTCTCTGAAAGCTCAGTTGGCGTGCTGCCATAATATAAAAAGCTCAGCAGAATTCTCATTGAAATTGCACTATAAAAAATCACAATGCCAAAAATTGATCTCGCTTTTGTGGATGACGAGTAGAATGCATCCGAGAAATAAACTTCCGTGTGAGAAAAATAATCACCGAGAAATAGAAAACACAATGACCAAAAGACTTACACGACATAGACATGGCCTCCCCAGCCACTTCAACAGTCACGGTCTACGGCTGACAGGAGTGCTTGCGATATGGTCTCAAACAATTCCTCAGAATCCTGAAACATTTGAAAAAAAATTTATCCTCTCATGGAAACAAGCTATTAAACAATTTACTAACCAATTTCAAATGAGAGGGACGTGATTGGAGGTACACAAACCACGCCTTTTCAAGTTTATAAACCACTGTAACAGCTTAGATTCAATGTACAAGGGTCGCATTGATGGATTATAAACATGGTATAATTTAATATAAACTGCTTCCTCCTCCCACACTCGCGAAAATATTTCTTAAGAATCACCCAGCCTGATGAAAACGGCAGCAAAATAAAAACATATGAAGGTATAAAATTTTCCAGAAGCATGATCAAACTATAACTGTCGTAAAGCACAAAAGAAACAAAAGGATAAGACTAACAAAGTTGATTATAGTCAAACTGGACTTCATCTTTACCTCCGTATGCATGGGTTTGATATATGCCCTTTTTCTCTCATGACCAGAAAAGCCTAAGCAAAGTATGAGAATTACAACTGACACGATATACGGTGGTTTTAATAGTCTTTAAGATCAATAGATGGCTCATTTCCAGGAAAATAAAAATTACGTATGGCATTATGTAATCCGATTACAAGATGTGTCGGCCTGATGTCATGTTAAAACTTAGGAGAAAGAAGCACGTAAAAGAGAAGGTTGGTGAAATACAAATTAAGATGAGCACGGTCATATTTGCAACAGCAACTCTGGAATGTGATCAATATGCAAAGCGATAGTATTACTACAATCTATAACTAATATTTCAAGAAACAATGAATGGTTTGCATCGCAAAATATATGAGTACCTTTATTGTACAAAGCCACTAAAATGACATGGTGCATTTGTGAAGTTATATGATTGCACTTACTCAGCTTGTTAATGTGATTTTATACTAGTGACTTAGCCGTCTCATAATTTCTTGGAAACATGGCTCAGTTTTTTGTTCTTGAACTTGTTGGGTGAGGGAGAATTATTCTACTTGGAATACCACAGATTACTTGCATTTTTTACTGAACTAGTTGCTTAATAGCACGTGAGTTGGACTTTCATGAGTTTCATGCAGCATTCCTTTTTCCACATAACAGAAGTATCTTATCCCAACATCTAATGCCTGTGTAACATGATAACTCCCAGCAGAGTTCAGTGAGAACTTAACAAAAACATTTTATCCATTAATCTTACCAAATAATTATAGTTACTTTGGGCAACATTATGCTGCATCAGATGCATCTATCAGGATCAGCGTATATCTGATTCCGCAATACTGTACCAGACCGTGCACCAACTCTTGGCAAATAAAATAAATAAAATAGGTGTAACAACATAATCAAGTGAAAAACTGATCAGCACTCTCTATGCTTATAAAGACAAATCTTTTACCCATTAATCTTACCAAAAAATTATAGTTACTTTGGTACTTAAATCATCGATTATAAATGGTTTTCAGAATGCAAAAATTCATGTTATTTTGAAGATGGTTTTGGGGAAGAAGGCCAGAAGGGGAAATGAGAATTTATTACTTAGCAACAGCCTGACTTGGCTCATGTAATCAATTAAACGACTGATAAGCCCAAAATGAATATTATATGCTATCTTTTATAAAGGTCAAGTCTAAAACTACAACAAAATGATAAAATATATCAAGTAAAATGACAAACCATGTCAGGCTTGAACATTGATTCACATGCACCATATAGCGATTCGGAGGCCCTTCCAGCAACAACAAAATCTTTGGCAAGTTCCCTGGCACTAAAATAAAAAAAAAAAAAAAAAAAAAACCTGGCACTAAAATAAAAAAAAAAAAAAAAAAAAAAATCTCTATAAAACCAGAAGTGTATATATTTATCTACAAAAATTGCAAGTAAAATCTAACAAGGTCTGTCTGCAATGAGCATTAAGCTGAATGCTAGTTCTAACCCAGGCTTTTTACATAATGACAATGATAGACCCCCCAATCCATGCAACTTACCAAAGGCGCAGGAATTAAGGAAAAGCATATTGCATAATTCCAGCACCAATTACATAATCCCAGAACCAGTCACTTAATTTCAGCAGCACCGATTACTCAATTACATCAATAATTAGGGAGAAAACCACATATAAATGAGGGGAATGAGCACGTTACCAGCATCCAGAAAATTGGGAGATTCCTTGGGAGAGTGTGGACCTCTCGAATGTCCATTGATCTTGTTAATTTTTCTTTTTATTATTGAATAAAGAATCTGCTTATCTTATAGCAGGTTTATTCCTTTGTAATCTCCATTTTAGCGGTGGAAATTATCATAATAAAATTCTTATCATGTTTGGATCTATCACTGGTATCAGAGCTGTTACGATCGGGATGGTGAATTTATCAGATCGTGTGAGAGAGTTGGAAGGGGTTCATCGGCAATTACAGGTCAGATGGAAGAAATGCAAGTGCAATTGAAGAGGGTACAAAATATTGAGAAAAACATGGCAATCATTCTCGAGAAAGTTTCCTTCGTGAGATCAAAATGGGAGGAAGTAGAAAGTGAGAAAAAATGCAAGGATATCGGAAGAGGGGAGGATTCAAAGTGCACTCTGCATTCTAAAAATTCCCCAGGTTTGGAGACAAGCAATCGAGTCGGAAGTGGTGGTTCGGGAGAAAATTGGAGACCCGAACTAAAGGGGAGGAGGCTGGAGATGCCTGTGTTCTTGGGAAAGAATCCAGACGACTAGATCTTCAGGGCGGAATGTTATTTTGTGGTGAATCAGTTGACAGAGGTGGAGAAATTAGAGACAGCAGCACTGTGTTTCGAAGGTGATGCACTCGCCTAGTACCAGTAGGTGCAGAAGAGAAAAGGGGTAAGAAATTGGGAAGAGTTGTAATTGAACAAAGAACTGGGAATTTTTCTGTTATATTATTCATTGGAAATCACGATATATATACATGTACAATCTCTCTAAGGTATGCTAATCTCTCTAGTTAATTATGCTAATTTAGCTACTGAAATTAGGCTAATTAGAGACTAATTAGGCTACTGTAATTAGGCCTAATTAGAGACTAATTAGCTCGTAATGTTAGCCTATTATTCTGTAACACTCTCCCTCAAACTGGAGCATAGATATTAATCATGCCCAGCTTGTTACAAAGATACTCAACCCTAATCCCATTTAATGCCTTTGTGAAGATATCCCCAAGTTGCTCTCCAGTCTTCACATAACTAGTAGAGATTGTATTTTCCTGGATTTTCTCACGAATGAAATGACAGTCAACCTCAATGTGTTTAGTCATTTCATGGTATACCGGATTTGAGACGATATGAAGGGCAGCTTGGTTGTCACACCAGAGTTTTGCTGGTACCGAAGGCTTCAATCCAACCTCAGCTAGAAAATGTTGTATCCACAAAATTTCACATGTAGTCTGGGCTATGGCTCTGTACTCCGATACGACATTGTGCTTCTTACTCCTCCAAGACATAAGGTTTCCACCAACGAAGATGCATATCCTGTAGTAGACCGTCTATCAATTTTAGATCCAGCTCAATCAGCATCTGCAAAGCCTTCAATGCAAAAATGTCCGTGATTGCTATACACTATACCAAGGCCAAGAGCTCTTTTTAGGTAACACGGGATCTGTTCCAATGCTGTCCAATGTTTTACTGTAGGCGCAAACATAAATTGGCTAACAACACTGACAGCATAAGCTATATCTGGACGAGTCGTTGTGAGATAATTTAGTTTCCCAACTAGTCTCCTGTACATTTCTGGATCATCAAAGAAATTACCATCATCTTTTGTAAGATGTACATTAGGAACCATTGGAGTGTTGCATGGCTTGGCTCCCATCTTTCTGGTTTCTGCCAGCAGATCAAGTACATACTTTCTTTGAGACAAGAATATCCATTTTTTGCTTCTTGTTACTTCTATTTCGAGAAAATATTTTAGTTGGTCCAAGTCTTTTGTGTGAAATTTGGTATGCAGAAATAACTTGAGAGAGGAGATTCCTGCACAATCATCTCCTGTAATGATAATGTCATCAACATAAACAACAAGAAGAATAATGCCAACTGCTGACTGTTTGTAGAAGACTGAGTGATCACATTTGCTCTTCTTCAACCCAAAATCCTGAGCTACTTTACTGAACTTGCCAAACTAGGCACGGGGACTCTGTTTTAGACCATACAGAGATTTTTTCAGATGATAGACTTTCCCATACTCCCCCTGAGCAACAAATCCAGGTGGTTGCTCCATATACACCTCTTCCTGGAGATCACCATGAAGGAATGCATTCTTGATATCCAACTGGTGTAAGGGCCAATCTTGGGATGCGACAATGGATATAAATAGGCGGACAGAGGTAAGTTTGGCCACCGGAGAGAAGGTATCCGAATAATCCACTCCATAAGTCTGAGCAAATCATTTTGCAACAAGTCTAGCTTTAAGTCTTGCTACAGAACCATTTGGATTGACCTTGATAGCAAAGACCCATTTGCATCCCACAGCTTTCTTACCTTTAGGCAGGTCTACCAACTCCCATGTCTGATTTTCATCTAGAGCGTTTATCTCCTCAAACATTGCATTCTTCCATTCAGGATGACTCAAGGCTTCTTTTACCGTTCTAGGCACAGAGATTGAATCTAAAAAGGTAATTAAAGAACTAGACACAAGAGACAGATGGTCGTAGGAAATGAAGTTAGCTATGGGATAAATAGATTTAGGGAGTGTATACTGGCGTTTACCTTTACGAAGACTAATGGGAAGGTCAAGGTCGTTTGGAGAATCAGATGACGCAGTAGCCGGTGCAGGACATATATCATTGGTCTCTTGCCTTCTGGAATAAACGTGGATAACAGGCGGCTTTACTTGAGTAGGAGGTTGCTCATTAGAGGTTCCGGGAGATGTAAGAGAAGCGCCATCATCTGATTGCTCAATAGGAGCACTTAGATGTGTGATTTGGTAGATTAGCCACTCATCTTTCTCTCCCTGACTTGTAAAGATGGAGGGAGAGGAGAAGAATGGTGCATTTTCTGAAAAGATCACATCAGTAGAAACTAGATATTTATGGAGATCAGGTGAGTAGCATCGATACCCTTTTTGAAGACGAGAATATCCTAGAAAAGCACACTTCAAGGCTTTTGGATCTAGTTTAGTAATGGATGGCCTTACATCACGAACGTAACAAGTGCTTCCAAATACCCGTGGTTCCACTGGAAATAGTGACTTGTTTGGAAATAGAATACTATATGGAATATCCCCGTCAAGTACTGTAGATGGCATGCGATTAATCAGAAAACATGCTGTAGAGACGGCATTAGCCCAGAACTGCTTAGGAACCTTCGTTTGAAACAAAAGAGCTCGAGCTGTTTCAAGTAGATGTCTATACTTTCTCTCAGTAACTCCATTTTGAGGAGGAGTATCAATACAAGAGGATTGATGAATAATCCCATGTTGAGTCATGTAAGTCTGGAATGAGTCTGACATATATTTTTTTGCATTATCACTTCTTAGTATATGCACAGAAGTATTAAATTGGGTTTTAATTTCAGCATAAAAGGTACAAAAATGAGAGAACACTTCAGATCGATTTTTCATAAAGTAAATCTATGTCATTCGAGAAAAATCATCCACAAAAGTAATAAAATATCTAAACCCAGTTTTAGACACAACAGGACATGGTCCCCAAACGTCTGAATGAACCAACTCAAAAGCGGACTCAGCTCGTTTATTAATTCTCGGACCTAATGAGCTACAGTGATGTTTTGCAAAATGACATGACTCATAATCTAGTGAAGATACATCGTGGAACTGAGGGCATAGTTTCTTCAATGTAGACAGAGATGGATGTCCAAACTGACAATGTGCTATAACTGGGGAGCTGGTACTGGAACAAGCAACTGATCGAGGCACCCACGTATCAAGAATATAGAGACCATCAGATACATGTCCTTTACCAATAATATGCTTTTTCATAAGATCCTGAAAAAGGCAATGATCAGGAAAGAATGAGATACAATAATTAAGATCCTTGGTAAGTCTACTTACAAAGATCAAATTAAAAGCGAGTTTTGGTAGACTCAGAACAGATGACAAGGTAATAGAGGAAGTTGGTTTAACAGTCCCAGATCCCACAATGTTATAGGTTGACCCATCAGCTATGGTAACAGGAGAGGGAGCTTTGTGTGATCGAAAGCTAGAGCAGGTACTAGAATTACCTGTCATGTGATATGTGGCCCCTGAATCAATTACCTATTTCTTTGAAGAGGAGATAAGACATGTTTTACCTGATTCGGCAAGGGCAGTAACTGGAGTGGATTCCTTCAGTGATTCTTGATACTGAGAGAATTTGGCATACTCATCACCTGATATCATAATAGTTTTCTCAAAAGATGAACTAGGAGCAGCAGCAACATTGGCGGTCTGAGTTCTCTGATTGCAATTCTGTAATTTCCTATAGTATGGCTTGGTGTGGCCTGGTTCATGGCAGTAGTAGCAGATAACGTTGCTTGAATCATTGTTACGGTTATCAGTAGTCTTGTTTCCTCTTTCCCTATTGTTGGGCCTCATTGCATAGTAATTTCCCCCTCCTTTGGTAACAAGAACATTATTTTGCTGAATAGGTGATGTATTTTCAGTGCGTAGAACTCTACTGAAGACGTCTTGAAGAGAGGGAATTTCAGAGCTAGAGAGAATTTGAGATTTGGAAGTCTCGAATTCAGGAGGAAGACCAGCCACAAAGCTCATAACCCCCATTTGCTCCCTTTGAATTTGCTAAACTTTGACATCAG